AAGTAATCAGATGGCAGAAAGAAACACAATTAGATCTGGAGATTAAGGTAATGTGAAGACCTATTAACTGGTTTAACATAAAAATGAAGCAGGAAGAAACCTTTCTATAATGAAAAGTAATTTTTGAAGACCACAATGATTACAGAAGAGCTTTCTATTCATAACCTGCAATCACATCTTTTTGACAAAATGGAAAGAATTCCAAGTTATCAGTCAGTACTTCCTGTGACAAGAACCTGTATAACACAGGTGCATCTTTTCTGCAAGTTTTGCAAAGAGGTATCTGAAGAAGAAACACCATGTCAAGTCAGAATGGAAATACTGTGATGTTTCCAAGTAGCTGGAATTTTTAATAACATGGCCAAGCAATCCTTTCAGTAAAAAATAAAAGATCACTTTCAGCAGTTGTGCCACAAGGTTCTTGAGTTACAACCTAGACAGGCTCAGTTTCTCAGTCTGAGGCAGTACCTGAACACGCTGCTGGATCTCGCCATCACCAAACTCTGCCCCTCGTGACAAGAATCCTTAGTCCTAAGCAAACAGCTGACACACTAGTGACCAACATTCTGAAAGACAATCCTGAGCCTACTGTGTTTAATGCAGGGGGGTGAAAAACGAAGCCTTCTGACTGTTCAGCTACTCAGTTTTGCTGCAGTCCTGTACCTCTGCTATGCCCTGTTCCATCTGCTGGAGTCCTTCAAGTACCTGTCCCTAACGCTTGCTTACTCCCTTCTTGCCCACAGTGTGCTGAGAACTGTCAGTGTGACAGAGAACTGAGCAGGGAAAAAAGAATCAAAAAGCAGAAATGCATTTCTGAGGAGGAATGGCTCTTTGTGACACCTAACATATTAGCACTCCCTATATGAGTTTTAAAATACTGCTGTATATAGCTTGGTCTTCTGATTTATTTCAACAGAGAGGTATTTTTTCTAATGACATGGCAATTACTCACTACTGTTGACTAGACAATTTGTAAATTATTAAAGTGACCCTTTGAGTGTTCCAATAGCTTTCACTAATGATACAATTTTTATACCATTTAAAATAAACCAAATGGATTCAAAGCCTTTTGGATTCAACTCTACAGTTTTACCCAATTGCTCTATTGTGAGTTTGAGCTGTTCTCTTTACACTGCTAGCAACGACCATGCACGTGTGCTCTTTCAGTGTGCTCTCTGTGGGAGGAAAACCACATTACTAAATTTTCAGAAATTCATGCCTTATTGCCCCATAAACCTCATCTCTGCTCCGCTGATTAAACAACAGAACAGCTAACAGAACTGCTCCATTTTCTGCTCATTATTAAGAATCACAGTATATTTTCTGTGCTTAAGTACCTGAAGTGTACAGTCCAACTAAGCACTGACAGTCACATTTATTTGTTTTACATACTTCAATTCTGATCTACTAAGGACCTTAGTCCACAACAAAAATAAATAAATATTTAAAGGCAATGCATTCTGTAAGCACATTTGGCCAAATGAAACTATGGCAACAAGAGTAACTGCGTTCTCAAATATAGTCAAATGATCTAAAATACAAAAAAAATCCCTATTTTTCACACTTGGATTATACCAGTCTTAAAAACTGAATTTTTGTATTTTACCTCTGCTGCTGAAATAAATGCAACAGTAATGCTCAGCAAACAAGTACAAAGTACTGGAAGAAACTTCCAACAGTCTCACACACGTAACTTTTTCTAACCACCACATGGATTGAGTAATACACTTAAAACTGCAGAACTCAGCCAAAGAAGATGCAATGATACCAGAAGCAATGTTAATAACTGACTGCTAAAGACTAGCAAGTGTTACAAGTAAGAAAACCACAGGGGTGAGAAAAGGATCAGAAGCATCAGGGTCACAACCCACCCAGCATTGCACTGGCCAGCTTGCTCTGTTCTGTCATAAGAATTTTAGAGTATTGCTGCACTAGAAACAGAAGTGCTGCCTGACGGGATCTGGAGTAAAGGTGTGAGAAGCAGTATCCTACAGACAGACACACTGTTAAGATATGGACAATACAACATTTCATTCAGCAACTGAATTAGAAAAACGAAAATGTGATGTGCCCTACAGATAAAGCAGCCAAAAAGTAGGAAAAGCAACCCCACACTTTACCTGCATAAAGCACTCACAGTGAGCACAAACAGAAGCAGCAGATTCTGACTGGAACATTCAAACCAAAGGGTAGAGGTCAAATAGTTCCCCAGGAACTCTCCACTACTGCCAGCCATTGAGGGCAGGACTACTGCTAACAGCTGAGCTATAGTTCAGCCAGGGATTTTATTCAGTCTCCTTGTGGGACTACAACATACCCCTGCAGCAAAAGAGATTGAGCTGAAAAAACCATTGTTGTTGGGTTTTGTGGTTTTTTGTTGTTCTGCTGTTCATAACTATTACTGCATTAAAAAATGCACACACTGAAACCAGAATTTATTAAAACAGTGGTACACATATGCTGGCACAAGGCTGCCAGTAACACATTGACAAGAAGTAAGAATTCATTTAAGCAAGGACTACTGCATGTATTATTCAGTCATTTGGACCAAGTTGTTTTTGTAGGCCAAAAAATACAGTTTTACCTCTTTTTAGAAAGAGAGAGGGATGGCACAGCCAGTGAATAGAAAAAGATCAAAGGCTGTTTGCTTTACTAGTGTAAAAATAAACCATTTTTCAGTTCTACAAAGACACTTTTAGATGACTGTTTGAACCAAGTGTCTCAGGACAATTATTTCATTTTTATTTTGTATAACAGCTACAAACAAATACTTTGTAAGACTGCAGGTTCACAGTCACCTCTGAGTGAATGAGTAACAGGAGTAAACCATCCAAAACACTGCTTCTTTCCTTCTTTTAAATTTAAATATGCAAAATGCTACAGAAAATTTGCTGGTTACATTCCCTTAAAAAGACAGTCCAACATTTCCAAAATAAGACAAAGGCAAGTCAACCGAATGATCTTTGAATGATCTCTTATCATGACAGAACCTGCACAGAATTTTTCTGTTTCTGTAAGAGGTAAATTCAACCAACATGTAAAAACTCACGTTTGCTAGAATAAGAATTCCAAGCCAGACATTCACCTATTCTAATTCTTCAATTAGTTACTAACTTGCTGTAATCCACCCTGTCTGAAGCTCAGTAAGTACAATATTTGCTCACAATCAAGTGACATGAAACACTTAGATCAATGAGGCATGAGTATTACACAGAATCTACCAATTTAACCCACATAAAAAACCCCATCTAGCTAGGAGTACAGAAATTAAGTGAATTATTTAATATGGAACCATGCATGGTAACACGGATTCTAAAGTAAGATTTACAGTGTCAAGACTGCTCTGTGTAATCATTTTCACTATTCATACCCAATTATAAGCTCTCAAATTAATGTTTTATGCAAGAAATACTAGAACTCTCTGCCAACATTTGTAGCAGTTGTCACAACAGGAAGTTTCTTCAATTGCTGTAAGTCGGTTGCTCAGTTAATAAAGATGTGCAGTAGAGCAGGGAAAGAATATCCATTCTGAAGTCTGATCACACACCAAACAGGAATCAAGAACATGCCAGAACTGAGTCATAGGAAGGGTTTTCCTAAAGTGTATTTTAGATATAGAAATAGAGTGGATAAACTAAAGAAGAGAATACTTGACATGGATGTTTTGCACTATTTAGAAGTGCATCAAACTCCGATCAGAACACAGAGCTTTAAATGAAGCAGGATTACTGTATTCAGGACAAGAACCATGCATGAACTAGTACACCTTACTTCATGCTTTACTGTGTTGACTAGAAAAAGGCTTGCTGAAAATAATCTGTTCCTCTGTAGTTACAGTCAGTATTTGTGACCCAAGTCATGCAAAAATTGCATGAAGTCTCAAGAAGCATTAAAAAAAATTTCTTTACATGCGCAATTGTCTTACACTGCAGTATTTGTCAATGTATGGTATTGTTTGAATATTTTGCATGGTCAAGTAACCTTATCTCTGTGTAAAAGCTGGAATTCTTTAATAGAGAAAATTGGAAGGTCGAAAATAGAATAGACCAGTGCCAGACCAGAATCTGTTCTGTCTTCTTTTTAAAAGTACGCCACTTTTTTCTAACCAGACCAACATGCAAGTACGAACAGGGCAACAAGCCATCTTCCCAAAAACAATACAGTGACATACTAATTATGCAATATTTTAAAGTAAAACCTGCCATAATTATAAAAAATTACCTTTTCCCCTCCCAAAGACCTCAGGATAGAATTTTTGTATACAATACCACTCTGAAAAAACTCAACTATACCAAGTATCACACTATCACTAACGATACAAATCTCATTCTCACAATCTTCTTGAGCTCTTCTTGCCTAGTAATCTTACTGAAATACAGACTTTTAAAGGGTCACAAACAATGCACAGTGAAGTCCTGATCTTTGCTTGTTGATTGGTATCACAGAAACACAAACTTTCAGCAGCTTTATAATTGAAGATCCAATATTTCACAAGATACAGATCAAAACAGACGATTTGCTGTTACATGGAGAAAACTGTCTCACTCTAAGAACTGCACTTGTGTTGATTGAAAGATTTGACACTGGCATTCCAAACAGTAACAGCAGTTCATAAAACATAATGGTCCAAAATGACTTTCAAACAGTGTAACTACGTCTATGTTAAGAATTCAAATGAATGGCAAAGATCCAAAACAAGAGAGAAGACAAAAAAATAAAACATGTCCGACTAAAATACATTTTTTCAAATTATCATTTGAAATGTTAATTTGCAGAATAAGCCAGTAAACAGCAAATACTGCAGTGTCAATTTGAAGTTGTATAAAATACAGCAAACATAGTTTAGAGGGAAATAAACACATCAAAACAGTAATCAGGTTCTAAGCACACACAATCAAACAGGGAAAATATCGTTAAATTCTAGAACTAGCATACTTTGAACAAGCAATGTAAATGCAATGCATCACCTTGAATACTAGAGGGGATTTCATCTGACATACCTTTTCTCTCTGTTTTCTGTGCAGGGATGGAAGATGTGGATGTAGACAGTTTTGATAAAGTAGATGCTCCATTAGCATCAAAGGATTTCTTTGGCTGGTGATCAGATTGTAGAGAAAATGGACTAGGAGGAACAGTGCTTGGGGTAGCAGTTGGATGAACCACTGGTTTGATGGGATGCTGTACTGGAGTAGAACTACTGTGAGTCTCTGCCCTTGGCAGTCTGTAGTCTCTGTCATTGTGCCTGCTTGTTTGAGATAAAATATTCTGTGGGAGCATACTGCTGGTGTCACTGGAATGCTTGTCTTCCACTTTTTTCAGGATTCCCCAAGTAACGTTGCAATAAGAAAAAAAGGATTAAATTAGAAATGAGTCTAAGATTGCAGAGACTTTGATTAATACAGCTGCACACCAACAACTAGAGCTGATTGAACTTCTTATGATTAAAAAAAGCCTCAAGCAGATCAGCATCAAAAAAGGCAAAATTTAATTCTACTCACTGGCAAAATGCATTTTCTGACCTTTGCTTGATTTAGAGTTCCGGTTAAGCACTGTGTTTTGATGAAAGGCTGTTTTATAACAAGTGTTACAGTCAAGTTAACTTTTGAAGTCTCCTAAAAAAAAATCTAAATCAAAATCTATTATTTCCATCTTGTATTTAGTGTGAAGAGATAATTTGTGCCATTTTTCTTTTGTTCACTGAAAATCCTGAACATCAAGTATAATTTAAGTTTCAAATTCTAGCCTTCAAAGAATTCCTCTTCACGTCACTTGAGTACTACAACAAATTTACTTACAGTTGAATTGATTCAAGACAACTACATATACTAAATGAGAGACTAATTTGCATTTGTCCCACAATCATAAGACTTTAAAATATGCTCCACAGGGAACACACCAAGCAAATACAGAGTAGTTCTTTTTATAGATTCTTAGATTGTCACCTGTCACAAAACAAATACTGCATTATGCATGTCTGCTATCTTTTTGTAGCATCCAGTATGTTTTAGCACATGCAGTACATTTCAGTATACACAGAAAAACAGTCGTTTATACCTCTCCATATTTCCAAGATTGTGGGGGAAGATTAATACTCTTCTACTTTTAAACCATCCTGAGAACTATGTTACAAATTCACCCAAACTACATAAGCTTACAGACAGAAACCTGTACTACAACTTATTTTCCACCAAAAAAAACTGAATTGACAAAGATTAAAGCTAGGTATCAGGAAAATAATTTCAAAGCTACAAAAATTTCAAAGTTACATAGTCCAGGAAAGGTTTTGCTAAGAGTACTGATGCAATAAAAACATGCTTGTAATAACACATACAAGCCTCTGAAAACCCTGATACCATAATCCATTAAAGTAGCTTATAATTTTCAGATGTGAAATCAAGGCTGTAAAAGAGACCTCTGCATCTCTGTTTTTAAACTCAAACTATGAGACTGGCAGGTCTCAATGATCACGACAGTCAAACTAAACTATAAATTGTGCAAGTTTTTTAGATAACTACCCATGAAGATAATTAAATTAGGCAGTAAAAGCTGCAAAAAGGAGACGCACCATAACAGCATTAAGCAAGCGTTGCACTACTAAAGGTTTAAAGTTATTTTAAGAAACAACATTTGGGAGAGCTGACTGTGCTATCCACTTTTGCTTTTATACATAAAAAGGTGAGAAAAACAGCTAAGAAAAGGGATTTTTAAAATTTTTTAAGTTTGGAAAAGAAAACAGAAACGCAAACGAGGCAAGAACATATTGCTGTAAAAAAACCACATACTTCCACTGGCAAACCCACTGGCAGCTGTCGCCTGCATCACCTCTCTTCTGTAATCCCTATCTTTTGGAAAACTGTTAACTGACATTTTGCTTGCTTCTTTTTGTCTCTGCTCTCTGAAGAAAAGAAAACAAAAGTTAAACAAGAACTTACATAATCTAATAATATAACAGTTTCTACGGGTGAAGTTACATGAGATGAATTAAACTGCTCTAAGAGCTTGCAGGTACGGGCAGGGTTGGCAAACTCCAGCCACTGCTTCCTCACACCCGTGCTTGTTGAAGCCCACAGTGTAATCAGTTCAGCTCACTAAAATCGACCAAAAAAACCCCAGAAAACAGAACAATCCAAAACAAAACGTAAAAAACACCACTCACCAAAAATCAAAACAAACAAACCAACCATACTTCCCCCCTCAGGCTTTGGATTGTCAAGGGATAACATAAGTGCCAGAGGTCACAGTAAGGGTAGAAACACAGCAGACTTAGACCACAATCTGTTATAGCAGTAATCTATTAGATAAGCTCAACTCTTAAACAAGCTTAAGAATATTTGTTCCTTATACAATTAAAAGAAACACAAGCACATACCTTTCCAGCCACTCTTTTGGTTTTTCCCATTGTGAAACTTCTGTTCGGCAGTTGTAGTAATATTTTTTTCCTGAAGAGCTGATGTGTTCAGACCAATCATCCGCAGAATCGTAAGCCTTTAAAGTACAAACAGTGTTGGACAAAAGACCACTTGAGAGTTTTAATATACAAATTTCAGAGTATTCACTGTTTTTAAAACTACATTGTTTTCCATTTACACCATCTCTAAATGCCCGTTTCACTGATGGCTTGGAGATGTGACCACTATGTTCCCACTGCATTCTGCACTAGGTTCCTCTGGTTTATTCCCACCAAACCTTGAACAAAAATCTAATAGTATGTTTAGTGAGATACAGTACTGTCAATATTGATAATATTAATTTCCTTCATCTTAAAATTTCCTCAAAAATTATATTTTCAAAATTTTTCTATACACTGCAAATTTACCTATTTTGTTTTAGTGTAATTTTTATTTTTAACGAAGAACACCTTAACTACTAAGACTTGGATAATAAAGTGACTAAAATTCACAATGCGTAATGCATCTTAAGTAAGTAAAATCATACTGTCTTCTCTAGATTTACCACAAAGGTCATGGGAAGTATTTCTTTCTTAATTTAAATAATCTAGTATTTTAAAATTACAGGCAGGTAGCTCAAAGCTCTAACGATTATCAATTAGAATAGTTTTACAACAACTGCATCTTGAATTTACAGAGTGTTTATAAAATAAAGACTGGAAAGTTGGAAAACTCAATGAAGCAGGTAACGTACATGCTGCTTGTCTTACAGAAAATTATGAAAATACATTTTGTATGAATGGGGTGACACAGGGATGAATACCAATCACAAATACTCACTGCATCAGAAGTTTTGCTTGGATTATTGCTGGGATTAGAAGAATGTGAATTTGAACTATGAAGAGCACTGTGGTTGTGTGAATTTTCTTGTGGAGAGTAACTGGTCCCTAAAGGAAAAAAGAAAGACTGTTTACAATGTATGTTTTTAAGGAATTAACAGTCTACATTCTAAGAAGTTAGAAGGGGAATGAAAAGGGGAGGGGAGAAGGCAAACTGCCCACAGCCTGGACCACAGCATAGTTCAGATGCACAAGTATTTCAGGAGACCACATGCATATTTCTTTTTCACAGGGTAAAACTCTTTGCCTTTCTAGCTACACTAATGCAGTACATCTTTTCACTGGTCTTACTCTCCAACTTTATTCCATTACAAGCAAACAAGCAGTTTTTATAATTATTGACACTTTGAAGACTTCTAACATGCCAATTCAGGAATTAACACGCATTTTCTCCTCAACATTAAGTCTGAAAGTTTAAATAGGCTTATCAACAGCCTACACAGATGCACAAAATCAGGTTTTAAGTTCACTGAAGCAATGCTGTTTTCTTAACCATTGAGACTACTTGTAACTAGCTCTAGGTAACTCTTTCTCTTTATGCATACAGATCAGATTAAATGTTCCTAGACCTCAGTCTCTGCAAAAAAGGTATTGACAGCTAGAATACCAATAGCAGCGTTTCCCAAACTCCTCCTGCTTCTGGCCTCCCTACCAACTACTTCTCAAGGTAAGCTGGTTTTCCTCGATATGAAAACACTTAAACACAAAAAATCCCAGCTGAAACAAGAAGATAAATAATTCTCAACATCTTTTAGATCTGTATTTGTGCCTAAGCTCAAGTCACCTGAACAGTTCCACATATGAAGTCAAAGTGCTTTGCAAATGGCAAAGAGTGGATCTTATGGGCAACTACAGTAAAGAACACTCTACTTAAGTGGACTGATAGGGGTGAGTCAATGGAGTAAAAAAAAAAAAAAAAAAAAAAAAAAAAAAATCTTCCGAGAGCGACACACAGAGATAATGTCTAAATGACATAGCATGGTGCAAAATTAGAGTATTATAATGCAAATTCTGTCTTCTGAGCCTTCTGACTGCATCACCACTGACAAATTACTATTTCAAAAATTTCTTCCTCCCTACCTCTAACCCTGCAGGTTAGAAAAACAGTCCACCACAAAAGCAAAGAGGTACAACACCATGACTAACCTGTTTAGTACCCTAAGGTTAGTCTGCACACACATGTTACTGCAACCTGAACCATCAGTATCTCAAAACCTTTCCCTACACCATCTTGACTAAAACTGTATGTTATTCTCTTTAAAGCTATAGAGGGAAAAAAAAAAAAAAAAAAAAAAAAAAAAAAAAAAAAAAAAAAAAAAAAAAAAAAAAAAAAAAAGGGGAAAACAGAGAAACTCTCACACTCAAATAACAGCCTTCCAGGAGCTAGACAGTTAGTCCTACATCACAAGTATCTTGCATGCTTAGAGCCATGTAGAATGACTTACCATGGGGCTTGTCAAAGCAATACTCACAACATCACACAATTGTGATGCAACAATAACAAAAAAGACACTTATAGAAATAGACACATTTAATTCCCCTAAATATAAGTAATATATCATAATTACTAGTCTGTACTCCTTAGTCACACCAACAGCCTAAATATTTTTTTTAGACACTGATTATGGAGTGGAATAGCTGTTTAATATTGTTGTATTAATCATTCTGTTAGTTTTTATTTATTTACGATATCCTTCTACTGAGATAAAATCATTAAAATTTCTTCATGTATTTCTGTAGGTTGCTCAACACAGACATATTAATTTCTACAACGAGATAAAATCATCTCCCTTTTTCAAGAAAAAAACAAGATGAAAATTTACCAGATGGCCTGTTTGAACAGTTTGATATTAGTCCCTTCAAAACGTCAGAAAACACCATTGTGCTTAATTAGCTGTAATCCCATACAGTATGGATGCAGCAACACTGCACTTTGTTCAACATACTGAAGATATACATGGTGACTTTTAAATACTCCAGTGGTCTAAATACAGCATAACAGTGAACCTAATACTCATTCTCCAAACATGAGTAAGAGCCAACAGCATACCTACTGAATCAGTAAAATATTTTAAAGCCAATTCTACCTAACCCACAAACAAAACCCTCAAATTCACTGTGCAGAGTTTCAGACTCCACATGTTCTATCAGCTCAGCACATGCCCCCTCCATCTCACACCGTGCCCAGCCCCGAACTGAATCACCAAGCAAGTATCAGAGCAGCTGCAGCAGTCACACCCACCTGCAGCTGGCCTCGATAGCAGAAACACCTACTACACAGCAGTTGATTCACGAGGGGCCCCTGGGCCCCTCTGTGCTGAGCTGCAGTCCTCCCAGATTGTGCACCCCGTGCCCTCACCCAGGATCCTGTCCGACCTGAGGCCGCAGCTGTATAAAAACTGACCACGGCTGCTCCAGCAATACCCACTGCCTCGGGTCACCAGGACTAGCCACGTGGGCAGTTACAGGGCCAACACAAATACATCCCCGATGGTGCCCGGGACAATTACACAGTACAATTACAGGTGCAGGTTCACCACCCACACCTCCATTTTATTTTATGCATAACGCCGCTTTCCGTTTGGATCTGTACCTGAACTTCAGGAATGAGCATATGAAAGGACTGCTGAACTCATGTTTGCTCCTGGGAAGCTTCCAAGACCAAAGTAAACACACTCTAGAGAACAAGAGTTTTAGGCACTTTATACAAGTTAAGGCTTTAAAGATTCTATGTAAACATGGAAACTATATTGCCAAATTACCTTTTTATACTGAGGCAGCAAGGTTTTAGTATGTGGTTAAATCCATGCACAGCAGTAATCTAGGAATCTGACAACGCAGCCAAGCAAGCAGTGCCAGCTCAGGTTGCCTGGGAAAGTTGTAGAAGATCTTTAAAAGGCCACCAAGTTAAAACGTATGCAGAAAGCAACCTGCAAGCAGAGGTCTGCCTCTAAAAAGATGTGGGGGTTCTCCTGGCTTGAATGCCTTCACCTTTATCCAAGCCTAACCCCAAATCATTTTACAGTGATTGTGACTTGTAATCAGCTCTGAAATGCATGCCTGGCAAAGTAGATCATGAGAATCATATCCCAGAAACAGGACTGATAAGGTAGACAGCAGACTACTGTCCCTCAAGACAGCCCCTTAGAGCACTTCTCACCTTTTCCTCTTCCAGTTAGACATTCCTTACTGGTTCTACTTTCTTCAGGAAGAAGGGACAAAGACTTGTTTTTAAATTTCTTATTAGCATATCTTAAGATTCAGCAATTTCAAATATATATCTTTGACGCACCACAGGGAAATTCATATTGTGCTATGAATACTCCAACTCAGTTACAGAACTCCCCGTGGAAACGTTTACTGCATCATCAGGGTAAGTTTCCTCAGCTTAATCATTATTTTGAAAGCAGTTAAAGCTGGAAAGAGCTACTCCTAACTGGGAAATGGCCAAGAAAGGCATCAGCACTACAGTTACATAAAACTGTAGCGGTGCAACTGTGTGAGCAAGCCTTCACTAACACTAATCCCAGTGATGAACAAGGCACAGTGCAGGTCAGAGTCAGGGTTAATATATCAAAGTTATCACCGAGTCTTTCAAACACTCACATCCTCCTTACTAATGCATGAAAATCACCAGAATGCACAAAGAGCAAAGTTCTGGGAACCAATTCAAAAACTGGGCTGTGACTTAATGCCTACTACAGATCTGAGATTCTGTCATGCCAAAACTCACTTCAAGTAGTTTCCAGATCCAAACTGCTGAATTCAAGACAGGTTGAACTGCTACAAGAGTTCAACACTGTGCTGAACTTGAAAAACAGATATAACAGAGTGAAATAAGAATATTCCATTTTGCAACACAGTCAACTTTCTCTAGTAATTATCACATTTAATTAATGTCTCCATTAACACCACCTCAACTCTGAAATTACAACAAACTCATATTCTGAGTTAGTTAAGGATCAGACTATTCTAATAAAATAACTGATAAAATCCCTGTTAATATCCTAACTCCCATAAATATAATAAAAAGTGTCAGTGCAGATAATATAAAGGAAGTTTACAAATGCTCACCAGCTGGAACTCAAAGGCAGTCGGCCCTTCAGTCCCTCCAGACAGAACAGGGATTTAGGAAGGAGAGTCATCTTTTCTGTGCCCAGAAACCAGGCATGTGGAAAGAAACACTGAGCAGCAGAAAAGCAAGGAAGTTCATTCCATTTGTGTCAACTTCATACATACTGTTCCATGAACCCATGCTCCAACTCTTAGCTACCATAAAATCAAATCCATTAAACTAGAGGAAATATCAGAACCTGAACTTCCTCAATAGAACAAGTACCACCCAACTGACAGACACTAACCAGTTGTTAACAGAGAAAACAACAAGGTAGTTTATGGTGATGATATTTTATGGAGATAACTGATTAAGACTTCTTTAAACAGTGAAAATTATAAAACTTATCTAAAATAAGCCTAAATTAAAATGTCTCAAGTGTATTTCAACTGGCTTTTTTAGTTCAGTGCAGATATTTGTCTGGAACACTTTCTAAAGTACTGCATATGGAAATATATAAAGCAGCATAACAGGAACACAATACTCAATATCTCAGCCTATCGTGGCCATTTTGATTTGCCACATGTAAAAGTAATAAGACAAATAGTAATTTTTGTTCACTGCATTTTTATGTGGACTGCTGTATTGAAATAAATATGGTTGTCTTCCACAGGCAACCAAAAGCACAAAAACTTGCCATCTTCCTAGCAGAGCAGTGGCCTCAGAGAATACACCAACTGCCCAGTAACGTTTTCCAGAAGTTCATAACATACTAAGTTGAATGCACAATGCTCTGCCAAAAGAAAGCAAATCTAGCCTGATCACTGTACTGCCCAAATGCCCAATTACATACTCATTATGCCCCCCCCCCCAATAAATGTTTTATACCAGTCAACAAGTAGCTCTATTGAGCATAAAAGCTTACAAAGCCTCATTTCATTCCCTGCCCTCCTCTCCTGCCGCACTGCCCATCCAGGACAGCAGTCTCTGTTCT